ACCCGGAGCCCTGAGCCCCGCAGCTCCCAGGCCATAGCGCCCCCTGTGATGCCGCTGAGTGCTCTTCGACTTCCCTCCCCCGGTGCCACCTCTCCGTGGCAGGACCCATCTGCCCAGGTCGGCTCCCTCTCTCTCGTTACCACCCCAGTCTCCTCACAGCCCCCTCACATTAACTTTCCCTCCCTCAGCACGCGGAGGACAGGCTTCTGGCTTCTCCCCTCCTACCTCCCACCCCTCCTTAGAATTTTACTCGATTGTTTATTATTTTCTGGGGGGCGGGGGACGGAGAGGGGCGTCTAGGACCTGAAGACTGGTGGCCGCGGCCAGTCAGCGCGCGGCGTGGCTTGACGAGTAAGCGGCGCAGCGAATGGCTTCGCGGTGTGGAGCTCCCGGGTCACGCGCGTGTGGATACAATGACATCATCTGTTTGTACGCGTCGAACTAGCTTGGTGCAGGGGCGGGGCCGTCCGTCACTTGAGTGACGGGCTACGCGCAAAGCCCGGAGCCTGGAGTCCGCCGGGTGGGCGGACTTCTGCGTACGCTGGGTTGGGCTTTTTTGTGTATCATGGTGCTGCGGTGCCCGCTCTAGGCTCTAAAATATCTCCAGTGGAAGGATTTAAAGGAAAAAAAGACTTTTATAAGCCAAAGTGGATAGAGTTTTGGTGTGCGTGTAGCATGTAGTGCATTCTTAGTGCACAGATGAATGATTTGGGCACTGATCATTGGAAAAAGACTTGTAGAGAGGTGTGTTTGTTTTTTTAAAAAAGTAAAAAAATGCACAATTAGACGTTTGCAGTTATTTACAAATTAGAATCAAATGATTTCCCAGTCACAATTGTTCAATCTGCTCTTGCATTTGGGCACGGGGGAATAATTTGCTTTTCTGAGTTAGTTACACTTCCCTCGTTTGCCATGAAATCCATGAAAAGTGAAACACGATTGCTTTCGGGTGTCCTGGGTAAGAGACTGAGCGCAAACTTTTTGGTGCCTATTCAAATCTGAGGGCATCAGCTTATCGAAGTTCTGAAGGCTTGACCAACATGTTTGCTTGTCAGTATTTCCACGCCGAGGTAACCCTTGCCATCTGCGGTCAGTATCTTATCTTGGGTGTTACCTGGTGTCGGGTTCTAAATGGGAACCGGACACCAGGGCGGGCCCAGAGCCTGGCGGACAGAGGCGCTTGACGGGGACCCCAGGTGCCAGGCGCCCCGCCGGGAGTCAAGGAGATCACGCAACTGCACTCGTGAAGCGTTTGGGGCTCTGCGCTCTCTTCTCCAGGGCCAGCCCCGCGCTTTGTTGTCGTCGAGGCTCCGGGGAAGGGAGGAGGAGCCCGGCGGGGATGGCTGCGAGAGCCCTCGGAGTCGCGGCCCGCGGCGCGCTCCGACACCCACGCCTGCAGCCTGGCGGAACCGAGCCGCGCAGGCGCGCACGCGAGCGCACGCACACACACGGACACCAGCACACCCGGGTCGGCCGCCC